GCTGACTTGGGGTTCTTAAGTTGAATCTGTATGTAAGTCAGAACTGGCGGTCAGTTTCAGCAGTGTCTGAATCTGGACGCCAGTTCCGACTTACAGATTCAACTTAAGAACAAACCTACAGTCCCTATCTTGTACATAATCCGGGGACTGCCTGTATATGTTTCATAGTTAAACAGGACAGTGGTTTCCAGCAATGCCAACTGGAGGGGTGTCCAGAACTAAGCCCAAGTGAGAATGAAAGCTACAATTCACCATGCTATTTAACCAGTCATACAGCATTGCAGGTGCAGGGGCTGGTTATTTAGACATGCACAGAACAAATTAAGTTTTGGAAGAAATAAATGACCTTGAGATAAAGTCCAGAGCCCTCCTCCACAGAGCAGAGAGACCTTAACAGTGAGAAGCATTCAAGAGGATAGGAAAGATAATAGCTGGTGCCAGGAGCTACAATGAGTAGTTCAATTACTCCTTCTGGAAAAACCACAGCTGTAACACTCCAGCCAGCAGCCCAGTAACTGGACTGGAAAGCAACAACATTCATGTGTACCAGCAATGAAAAGAGCTGGTCTCACAAGCAGCACAACTCTTCATCTTGCCGGCTCTATCCTCAAAGAATTAATAATTGCTATTTGGGAATGTGTTATTTTAGAATCCTCTAAGCAATGTGCTGCTCCATATGTAATGCTGCCGAGTAAGAGCTGCAACAAAAAGTCTCTTTTCGGTGACTCAAGTCAATTAGAAAATGTGTCACCAAGCTGGCAAGTTTTATCATGTTCTGACAACCCCTCTGCTGCTCACCCAGGGCTTGAGTCAATACATTAACAAATTGAAAGCCTCACATAGATTTAATTGGCATTACACGTGCTGTGCTGGTGATGCAGGATACAGACACAGCACTGTGGCCCATCTTAAGACAAGTGTTAAGTCTTTGTGCTACTATGGTGTGTGGCAGCCTAACAATTACACTTACCATTTTGTCACACATTTGACAATACATTGGAAGTTCTTTGTAAAGATTACCCTCACAAATGCTGTTTGTACAAGTATTGCTCACATTATTCAGATGGGGAAACTGGCACACAACACGGCCTAAAGTGATTCGTTCTGAGGTGCATCGTGGCAGTCAGAAACAAAGCCCAGGAGTTCTAACTCTTAAGTGCACTGTTCTACCAGAATCTGACCACATTTGCTCTATAGCTCCTTTTATTGCCTGGCAGCTAATCCATCTGGAAAGTGTTGAGATCCTTGGGTGACGACACCATACAAACGTGCAAAGTATCATTTTTCTCAAGGGAAACATCAGGACTTACTTTAAATGCAGTTTCAGACTCCATGGATAGCAAGTCTCCATCAAACGGAATGAGGTCCAAACTGTACTGCTCTCGATGAATGAAGGACCCCAGTACTCCCTGATCTTTCAACCGCTGTTCACACAACAAGCTGCGACGGGGCACAAACAAAATGTGGAAGTCCCTCTGCGGAGAGCGAACTCTGTCTTCACTGAAAGAGACTCAGCTTAAGTTGTCATGCGTATAGAAGCACAGTACATGCTGACCATGGTTACTCAGACTGGCAACAGAGAAGATGTGCTGCTTAGACAAAGGAGCAATAAATGGAAGTACCCACATTCCTGGTACTTTCTAGTTCCTTATTAATAAAGGCAATCCTGCACACAGCCCTCATGTTGTACAAAATGGCTTAAAGGCTAAGCAGTAGGTCTGTGGGCTAAGCAGCTTGGCAAGATGTATGCTGCTCAGAACCACAGGTTTGAATCCAGGGCTGGATTACCCAATAGGCAGACTAAGCACATGCTTAGGGCACCAGCAAAGCAGGGGCACCAAAAAAGATGAGATTTTTATGGTATAGTATTGTTTTTATTTTGAATTACATATGGGGGGGGGGGCACCATAATCTTTTCAGTGCTTCAGGTCTTAATCCGGCCCTGTTTGTATCCCAAACAGAGTTGCCTTTACTTTTTGCAGTTGACTGTGGGTGGATCGTTCAAACAAGAACTGCCTGCCAAGGAACCATTCATGTTCAATTAAAGAAAACTGAGTAGAGTCTCCTTGGTATCTTTAAGCAAAAAATTCCCCCTCTCCATCTTGTTGCTATGCACCTGCTTCTCAACCTCCAATCCCAGAAATGACTGCATTCAAGTGGTGTAGTACCTATAGGTGAGGATTCTGATCTTAGTCCTGCCAAGTTAAGTAGCTGTTTCACACTGAAGTGACAGATTAATTATTAGTGAGTAGGCCGAAATCTACCCTACTTATTTCATTTACTACTGACACCTGGTATGAACCTGGGACAGTGGGGAGGCAAAAGGGGGAAAAAGAAAACATGAACCCCACTAAACCATCACAGCTTTGAGTATATAAAAATAAGAAGGTAAGAACAGCCATACTGGGCCAGACCAAATGTCTTCTGACAGTGTCCAATGCCAGGTGCCCCAGAAGGAATGAACAGAACAGATAATCATCAAGTGATCCATCCCATCACTCATTCCCAGCTTCTGAGAAGCTAGGGACACCATCTCTGATCATCCTGGCTAACAGCGACTAATGGATCGTTCCTGCATGAGTTTATCTAGCTTAAAAAAAAAAAAAAAAAAAAAAAACACTGTTATAGTTCAAAAATGGCCTTCACAGCATCCTTGAGGAAGAGTTCCACAGGCTGATTGTATGTTTTGTGAAGCAAAACTTCCTTTTGTTTTAAACCTTCTACTTATCAAATGAAATGAATGACCCCATAGTTCTTATGTAAAGAATAAATAGCCCTTCATTTACTTTCTTGATACCAGTCCTACTTTTATAGACCCCAAATATGCCCCCCATCTCTTTTCCAAGTTGAATAGTCTCAGTCTTATTCACCTCTCCTCAGACAGAAGCCATTCCATACCCCTAATCCATTTTTTGCCCTTTTGTGAACCTTTTCCAATTCCAATGTATCTTTTTTGACATGAGGTGGTCACATCTGCACACAGTATTCGAGGTATAGGTGTACCACGGATTATATGGAGGTAATATATTTTCTGTTTGATTAACCCCTTCTTAATTATTCCCAATATTGTTTGCTTTTTTGACAGCCACATACACACTGAATAGATGTTTTCAGAAAACTATCCACAAGAACTCCAAGATCTCTCTCGAGTGGTAATAGCTAATTTAGACCTCATCATTTTATATGTATAGGTGGGATGATGTTTTCTGACGTGCATTACTTTGCATTTATCAACATTAAATGTAATCTGTCACTGTGTGGCCCAATCACCTAGTTTTGAGATGCAGCTGTTGCCTTTCCACTGAAACACCAACTATACCTGAGCACATTTTCAGCAATTATGTCCATTAATTCTAGCTTGGGCCTGACAAAGAAAATAATATTCTTGACATCAGCAGGTGGCAGACGGCCCGCCTTGAGGGTGAACATCTTCTCCACCTCATGTTCCTATGAGGAGACAAAAATGATATTCAATCAAGAGCTTCTTGTTATGCTGAAAATTGGTTTCAGAAAGGGCTACATCAGCTTAAGTTACCCAATCTGCTATTTGTTACTCTGATGCCTTATCAAAGGACAACAACATGGAATTAATCTTCTATTTCCACATGCTTATTATGCAAATTATTAGTTTACTGCGTTACACTATCATTAAAGATGGAGGTTCGACATACCTGGTCTGTAGAAGGAAAGTTGGCAGAAGAGCAGTAAGCGATATTCCAAAAGGAATATCTGCTATATGACAACACCTTAGCCCAGCAAATCATGGTAAATTTGAAAGGCAAACTCTAGGACAGTTTATAGAAATTGTGCTAATGGCTCTAAAAGCCATTAAGAGACTGAGGGTCCAAAGAGCTTTTTGAAATTTCAGTCTTAATAAACACAACATGGATGTCATGTAGACCTTACCTTTAAAAGCGAGTATTGCGCAATTAATCCAAAGGGTCCTGTGAGGTATTCATCCCACACTATTGCCTAGGAAGAAAAAAAGCCTCAGAAAAGTCAGTTTACACAAGGAAGAAAGAAAACTCTTACTGAAGGTGATACGCTGCTCAAACATTTGTTTTGGGAGAAGTTCCGATTTTAAGTCAGTCATGAATTACTGGGTGAATCAGAGGAGCACAATGTACTTCAAATACACTCATTAAGTTTCCCAAGAGATGTTTACTAAATAGAAAAAAAAATCAGTGAAACTAGCAAAGGAGACAGACAAAGGGACTGGGATGGCTGGACACTGGAAGAAATTTGGTGCAGCCACACAGACAATGCTGAAGACTATGGATTTCCACTCAGATCAAGTCAAGAACCTGAACCCAGTGACATGGTCACTGTCCGTCCATTTATAGGGCTGGTCAGAGCATTATGTGAGCTTTCTATCTGCCCTAGTGAAGGCAAGTGAAAGGCACTTCCTGTGCAGTGACTTGTACTCCCAGGCTCTGCCTCTCTTACCCCACAGAGGCGGCTACATTTCAGAGATGCTGGACACCATGGAGATCAAGTCAAGAACCTGAACCCAGTGACATGGTCACTGTCCGTCCATTTATAGGGCTGGTCAGAGCATTATGTGAGCTTTCTATCTGCCCTAGTGAAGGCAAGTGAAAGGCACTTCCTGTGCAGTGACTTGTACTCCCAGGCTCTGCCTCTCTTACCCCACAGAGGCGGCTACATTTCAGAGATGCTGGACACCATGGATGTAGTGTGTAAAGCTTCCAAGAGTTAACACCCCAGGGCTGCC